GGCCGGGGGCCTCTGACCCCGTCCGACCCGTCACCCACAGCTGCCCGAACCGCTCATCTCCTTCCGCCTCTACCACGAGCTCGTGGGGCTGGCCAAGGACAGTCTGAAGGCGGAGGCCGAGGCCAAGGCGGCATCACGGGGCCGGCCCGACGCCGCCGAGAGCGAGGCTGCAGCCGTGGCCATGGCGGGCCGGCTGCGGGAGCGCCTGCAGGGCCTGCCGCCCGAGAACAGGGCCACGCTGCGGTACCTGCTGCGACACCTGCGCAGGTGAGGGCCGGCCTGGCAGGGGTCCGGGTTGTGGGGGGGGCCTGGGGGAGCCATTCACACCTGCTCCCGCGCCCGCGTGGCCCCCAGGATCGTGGAGGTGGAGCAGGACAACAAGATGACCCCGGGGAACCTGGGCATCGTGTTTGGACCCACGCTGCTGCGGCCAAGGCCCACCGAGGCCACCGTGTCCCTGTCCTCCCTGGTGGACTACCCCCACCAGGCCCGCATCGTGGAGACCCTCATCGCCCACTACGACCTGGTCTTCGAGGAGGAGCCCGAGGTGCCTGGGGGCCGGGGGAGGGTGTTGTGTTGGCAGACTGCAGGGCTGCCCGCTCTGAGCAGGGGGCCGGGCCGGAGACAGAACGACTGACGCGCTTGCTTCGGGCCGGGTGGTCAGAAGTGGCCTTGGAGGCATCTTTTAAGCAAAGAACTGATGGAGGAAGGGCTCGACCCTTGAGGGAGAGCCACTGTTGGTGCAAAGGCCCTGTGGCCGTACCCCCGCCTCCGGAGCCCGCCTCCGGAGCCCACCTCGGACCTCGCGTTCGGCCCGGCCCCGTGGGTCTCCCGTCTCTGTGCCGCCTGCAGCACGTCCTCACGCTCGCGTGCTGCCCAGCTGGGTCCAACCTGCCAGCTCACCTGGCTGCTGGGTTGCAATCTCGTGCCACCGATCTCCTGTCTGCCAGCCCCGTCCGCTCTGTTCTCGAGCCTCGTGCTCCTGTGCTCCCGTCCCCGCGGAAGGCCCTCTTCCAGGGGGTGTGTGTTCGGGGCGGCAGGGCACACTGGGGTCCACACGGGACCTCGGCTTTCTGCCCCACGTGGGCGAGTCGCAGCTGCTTAGCGACACCGGGCACACTGGCATCGGGCCATCCGCGCGCCGGGTGTTTAGTTGACCAGACGGAGAACAGAGCCTGGGAGGGGCCAGAATCCCGGACCCCGGCTGACCACATTCTGCCGCCCACAGGAGGACGCGGATGACCGGCGGGCTGAGGATGGGGTGCAGGCGCCGTGCCCGGAGGCGGGTGCAGGGGCTGCCCTCCCGCTGCGGGAGGAGGCTGCAGACGGGGGTCCAGGTGAGCGGGGCAGCCTGGGTGCCCGCTGGCAGACCGTGCGGTGTTAGGGGGCCACATGCCCCATGGGCAGGGACATCTCCTGTATCAACTGTTGATTTGTTGCCAATACCAGCAAAGAGACACCTTTTTGCGGCATTCTGTAGACACCGACGTGGGTGCCCTGGGCCTTGAGCCTGCACCTCGGCCTGCGGGTGGGTGGTCCCAGGGCGGGGAGCGGGCCGGGCGAGAGGACGGCGGGTCAGGCGGTGGACCCCAGGTCCCTCCTGGTCACGGCGCGACTGGCCTCTCTGCCCCCACCCCACCTTCCTTGGCTTCGCAGAATCCCAGGTGGCCTCCAACGACTCCGACTCCGAGGGGGAGGAGGCCTCGGAGTTGCCGTCCCCGGCGGGCAGGGGCGCGTACCGCCTCAGCTTCCTGGAGAAGCAGGGCAGCGAGGCCAGCGTGGAGGAGGCCCAGGGCAGCAGCAGCGAGGAGCAGCTGGGGGCCGGGGCCGGAGAGGGCCTGGCAGAGCAGCTTTCCGAGTTCAACACCAATCAGTGCAACAATGTGGCCGAGGTCGGACTGCCCGTCACGTGGCTCCACGGTGGGCAGATCGCAGCGGGCACCGGCCACGAGAGGCAGCCCGAGTTTGTGTAGGCTGGGGCGCGGGGCACGCCGTGTGTTCCCGGCTCCCATCCCTGTGGGTGTCCAGTCACCGGGAGGCCACGGGAGGCCTCTTCCTTCAAGCCCATACCGGTGAGGGCATTGCCGGCTGCCTCTTCCAGAAGCTTCCGGGGCACTTGGGTGAGGTCGAAGCCCGCTCCGTCTGCCCGTGTGCCCTGGCGACCCGACCCAGCCACGCTGGGAGATCCCGCTGTCCAGTCGTCTGGGGACTGACTGTGTGCTCAGAGAAGCCTCGGACGTCCCTGCCGCGTGGCCCTGCCCCCGGGGCCAGCTGCCCTGTGGGCCTACAAGCTCTGCCTTGACCTCTCACCGCTGGGCCACCACCGAAGGCCACTCTGAAAGCCAGAGAGCAGCGGCCAGTGGCAGCACCACGCCCTTGCTTTCCTGGAAAACCGAGTCGGGACGCTTGGGGTTTAGGCACGTGGTGAGCTCCATCTTGGTCACGATGTACGTCTTTCACATGCACATTTACTCTGCTTAAAATAAAGTTTAAAATCCGAGCCTATCTTCTCTGGTGGTGGCAGGCTGGGGGTAGGGACACAGAGGACACAGAAGTTCCACTGTAGCTGTGTGAGCTCCAGTGGCCTTTGAGACCAGCTGTGCAGACACAACCTCAAACAACCACTTCATAGAAACTTCTAGCCCAGCACCGTTCGGTAGAACCTTCCAGATGAAAGAAATGCTGTCCGTCCACCGTCCAGTGTGGCAACCACCAGCCCTGGAAACGGGGCCAGTGTGCCTGAGGAACAGGTTTAAATTCTGTGGCCACCTTCGGAGACGGCACTGTGAACCCTCAGCCTGGAGCAGAAGAGGACCCCTGCCCCCAATTCCTGTTACT